CGGGAAGCCTGCTTCTCCCTCTCCCACTCCCCCTGCTTGTGTTCCCTCTCTCGCTGTGTCTCTCTCTGTCAAATAAATAAATGAAATCTTTAAAACAAACAAACAAACAAAAAAACCACTTATGCTCGCTGGGGTAGGAATGATCTGCCACTGGATGAAGGTGGGGAGGGGGAGGACTGCGGAGGCCAGAGAGAGGAGGTGAGGGTGCAGGACCCCTGTATTGCTTGCTTGCCTTGATGGGGAGAAAGCCCAGTGTCGTCACCCACAGTTCACCCCAAAACACCTCTGGGAGGAAACACTGCATTTTTCACCAGAAATATGTTGCCTGTATGCTCTAGCACAGACCCGTCTCTGCCCCTGGCACCCAGTCCCAACCAGCCCCTGGCACTTACTTCATGGGTTTGAACAGTGCTTGCCCATAATTCTGGAACGTCATGATGAGCTTGAGCTGCGTGCCCCCCGACTTCATGGCTGCAAGGAAGAGGGAAAGAGACACGGGGTCACTTGCTGCCCTCAGACTCCTCCCTCTGTGGGCAAGTGAGGCCAGCTCCCACTCTGGTCCCACGGCCCCACCTGGGCCCTCGATGTGGCTGAGGGTGCCCATTCTGCCTGGAAAGTCTGGGGTTTCCAGCAATGATGCTGATAAACACTCCCACCTGATATTTAGGTGCTGGGGCTGGGGGCAGAATCCCTCAGACAGTCTGACCCTCCCACAGGAGGGAGTGGTCAGCCCTGGACAGCAGAATAGCCAGGAACCAGGTAGATGCTGTCCCCCAGTGCCTAGGGGGCTGGCTACAAGGATGGAAGGTGGAAGCCAGGGGAAGCAGGCTAAGGCAGTCATAGCAGATGGTGGTGGCTTGGATGGCAGAGATGGGGAAAATGGAAGAATTAATGAAATATCAGGGGGTCCAAGGAACCATTTAGTGGAGCGGGTGTGGGGTGTGGAGGGAAGAGAGGAACCTAGCTTGACTCTTGGATTCCAGTTGGAGCAGTGGATGAATGGGGAGGAACGTGCATGCAAGTGAAGATCAAGTCCAGGTGAGTAGGGATGACTGAGGGGTGCCATACTCGAGGGGCAGCACACTGGGGGGGGTGCTCCATACCGGGGCTGCACCACATTAGAGGGGCACCATACTCGGGGGCTTTGGCATGGAGGAGCCCTGAGGCTGGAGTCCCTGCTCAGCTGCCCGTGGCCGGGTGCCCTGGAAGGAACCTCCACTCTCCCTCATCTTGGTTTCCCCCTGTGTTAGTTGGGGCACAGATGCCTGCCCAGCCTCCTTCGTGGGGCTGTGGTGAAGGTCAGGACAAATAAGGACAATGCAGTGCTACAGGTCACCACGTGCCATTACAAAGCAGGGCTGCTATTGCCATCAAGTGGGTAATGCTCGTGGAGCAGCTAGAATGGCGCAGGGCCCATGGCACACTCAAGACGGCAGACTGCCACAGGAGAGGGAAGAAGAGCCAGGAGTTCTGAGTTCCCTGAATGTCTTCGGTGGCTCTCACGGCCCCTGTAAGGGCCCAGGCCCAGCCCCACTCCTGGGTTCCCAACCCAGCCACTTGCTCGTGCCTTCCTCTGCAACATCTGTGGCCGGGACAGCCTGGCTGCCTTGGGAGCGCCCTGGTCTTGGGGTCCAGGAGGTGGAGCTGAAGGCACAGCTCCCCCAGACCAGTGTGTGGCTTGGGTCTGTCTGACGCTCTCCCAGCCTGAGCCCTTTGCAGGAAAACAAGCCCCTCACCTAATTCCACTTCCCTCCAAAACATTGGAAATAACCTAAAAATGCCCAATCTTGGGGGCAGAAGCACAATGCACGGTAATCCCACGTGAGGGAATACTAGGTACCAAAGACTCTCTAATGACGCAGCAAACTGCTCATTATTTTATTATTAAGCAAAGCAGCTTATGAAGCATTTGCACTCTGTGAGCTGCCTTCTTTGGAAGGTGTGTATGTAAGTGCGTGGGAAAATCTGGATGCACAGATAAGAAGCTACAGCCCAGTGCTTACCCCCCAAGAGTAGAACCACAGATGATTTCAATTTCCTTTTTTCCCTTATCTGTGCTTTCTAAATTTCAACAATGAACATTTATTACATTTTTAATAAGATGAAAACAGAAGTGATCATTAAGAAAATTAGTGGCCCGATTAAGCCCCATTCGATATCCCCATTTCCATGTAATAACTGGGGTTACTGGATTTAATTATTCCTTCCCAGGCCAATCGGGGACAGCACATCAGCTCTTTCCAGGGCCTGTAATCCTGGTTTTCTTGAATAATAAATTATTATGCAAATCTGGCCAGTTTAGTCATTCTTGTTCTGGAAGTGAATCTCAATGCGCTGCTGACCTGTGTTTTCCACAGCACTACCAGCTCCTCTCCACGGACCAAGCAAGTAACTAGAAATTAATGGGCCTTAGACTCTCCAGGTGACTAAGAACTCTGGGAAGGCCAGGCTTTTGCTAACTGCCCTGGGCACCACCTTTCTCTTGTCTGGGGACACGTACCTTCCCACCAGGGTCCACCATTCACTCTGCCAAGCTGGAGTGGACAGCTGGAAGACACTTGGAATTCTGCTTGAAAATCAGGTATGGTCTGCAAAAACCCACATGCAAACTGCCTGAAGTCGTGGCAAAGGCCAAGTGTTCGTCTGGGATGGGTGAGAGGCGGATGCCCCCACAAGTCTGTGCTTGGAGCGGGTGGCCCTGCTCTGCCGCTGCAGATGAGCCTGGGGAGGTGGTCAGGGCTGAGGGCCTCAGTGGCAGAGCCGGGACACTAACCAGGCCTCGAGAAGCAGGGTGTGAGTTTGGGGTTTCTTCCTGAAGCCAGACTTGAGGAATCTTGCCCCCGTGTGGGGGAGAGAGGCGGTGGGAGCAGAGGCAAACTTCCGAGAGAAGCCCAGGTGTGCAGCAAGGGCCCCATGTGAGAGGCAGTGGACATGCCCTCACCTGGTTGGGTCTCCATGTTTCTCAGGGGACAGAGGTCTGTCAAAACCTGGCCAGCCTCAGCCCTGAGGGGCACCTGACTGAGCAGTGAGCCCACCGTGGGCTAGAGGACAGGCTAAGGCCAGGGTTGTCCTGGCACAATCCAGTGGCCACGTCCCCAGAAGACACCCTGAACAAGCCCCATCGGCCACCTTCTCTCCATCTCCATGGCCCCACCCAAATCTGGGCCTTATTATAGTCATCAAATCACTAACACACGAGGGGCACCTAACTGGTAGCTTGGCTCGCTCAAGCCCCAGCGATGGCCCCTCTGTATACACGCTCCCCTCCCCAGCTCGCCTCCGACAGGTGTGTCCCACCATTCAGACCACGGATGTAGCTCTGTCTTTCCTGCTCTCCCTCAAGAGCCATATCCCCCAGCTATGCATTAATATATGGTATTAATTAGCATTGACTAGTGATCATTAATGACACGCATCAGTAATTATACATGCTAATATACACTGATAGAACACCCTATACTTTATTCTAATGGTTGTGGATGCTATAAATTCCATGACCACTAAGACACTTGGACACTGTGGGGTTTTGCTGTCTTTCCCCAGAACACAGCTCCCCTCAGAAGAACCAGAACGGGAACTGCATTTCTTATGACCCTCCTAGGAAGGATCCTCCCTGGGAGGAGAGAGACAGCCCCGAAAGGAAAAGGGGTGCCGTCCTGGCCGGGGACCCCAACACCGCCACACCGAGGAGGCGTGAGTGGTGGGACACACAAGACGCTGGGCTCTGCCTTTAGCTCATCCTGCGTCATACACCTCAGGGCTAGCAGGGACAAGTGACCTGGGTCACTCAGCAATTTGTTTCCTGTGGAAACCAGGGTCAGCAGCGCCAGGTTCCCCATTTCTAACAAGAACCCCCAACCCATATTTTGGTGAGCCACCTCCTGACTTTTAAAGGAACTAATTCTACTGAAGAGATCGGTGGCCCACACAAACACACCCATGCGCAAGGCACCGCCAGGGGCGGCCTCTGGGACTTGGGATCCATGTTTGTCCTTAGGGATCATGGTCAGGCAAGTGGTCTGAATACTTTCCCAGCCACTGCCTTGCTTTAAGGCCCAGGATGGCTCAGATCTGAGGGATGTGACGCCAGGAGCACTTAGGTCAGCTCTTCTTCCCTGCCCACCCCACACGCCTCACCCCCTGGCAGGAGTGGGATCTAACCAGTGTCCTAGACCCCTGGGCGCCATGCAGAGCCCCTTTTCCTGCCCTTGGGCATCAAGGGAGAGCAGCATGGTGCGTGTCCACCTGTCCGTCATCAGTGGGCGCCCCGGGGCTGGTATTGAGGGGGCTGCTCTGAGTGAGGGGCTGGAGGAGGCTCTAAGGGCCAGGGTCCTCCTGCCCCACTTGCTGTGAGACCTTGGCAGGCCTCTACCAAACTTCAGTTCCTCACATGCACGCCCAGGGTTTTTTATTATGATAATTAAATTGACTTAAAAGAGAAAGTACAGCCCTGCCCCAGCTGGAAACCAGCACACCCTGGACTAGAAGGAACACCATCGGAATACATGCCTGTTGGATTCTGGAGCCCCAAATGTTGTCTGCTCAAGATGGAGAAAGCAGGTGCCGGGGCATTTGCCTGCGCTTTTGTCCTTGATCTTGGACCAGACGGCTGGAAGGAAAACTGAGGAGGGGCTCAGCAATTTGCCACCTTCTGTGGTGCCTTGCCTGCAATCTTCCTTCTGGGTGGTCTGCGTCCTTCCTCCCAGATGACCTAAGGTGCTCCGGGTGAATTGAGCATTTTCAGTTGTCAGTCTCCAGGTCGGAGAGCCAGGACCTGGAGACTGGGACCCACTGCAACCACGTAGGGCGGGAGGAGGACTGTGACCTCTCTGGGGCTGGAACTGCCTTCCCAAGGAGCCCACCTCTGACCAATTAGACAGGGCAGCCCCCCAGGCCCTCAGGCAGCTGCCCACCCTGGGCTGCCCCAGCCGCAGCCTTTGTTCCTGGAAGCCAATTAGTCCTGGATCCTAGCTAGATCAATTAGCGCCCAGGACTTGGGTCCTGCGGAGCGGTTCTCCTGTGTTCAGGCACCCACCACAGGTGTGTCCCAACCCGGATGGAGTAATGGTGGCATCTTTCAGCCAGAGGCTGGCTGAACCCTCTCCATGGTAGTGTGACTTCTTTTCCTTTTTAAGCAATTGCAAGTACAGAGCAGTTAATTGTGTCATTTATTCGTTGCATCCATAATTGTGCGCGATAGCAATTTAATTATCACTGGCCCGAGCCGAAGGCGTTGCACGCCTGATTTCAAGCTGAATAGAGGTAGATAACATCCCGAGCCTCTTTAAAGGCAGTGAACGGCGGTTACCAAGCAGCCAGGAGTCTGGCTATAAATGAATCTCTGTCGGCCACAGCAGCTGTACCGAAGGCCACACGTGCTTCATGAAGTGGATCAAGTGGTTCTGAACAGGGACAGTTAATGGAACTCTTCCGACAGGAAGCTCTGGGAACCTTGCAGGAACTGTTCCCCATTCCAACAATGTTTCTGGGCTCACATTTAATAGTGGATGCACACCTTGAAGATTAAAGGGACCACCACAGCTGGACAGCTAGGGAACAGAGATCTGGGAGCAGGGACTTGCAAGACACCCTCCCCCGCGTCTTGGAGGCCTCAGTTTCCCTGTTTACAGAACGGGTGTTGGAAGTGGGTTGGATCTCCAGCTCTTGAAACTTAGACACTTCCTTACACCACCACTGTGGGTCAGTGTGACTTCTTTGTCTCTCTCCCATTTCATGCTCAGGAGGATGGCACGGCTGAATCTTGACCCTGAGGTAGGCCTGGGCTCCTATAAAGGGGCTGCCATCCAGGGTTCTCCATGAGGCCTTCAAAGGCTGTCCAGCTCTGGGTCACAGCACTGCTAGGTGCAGGGGCTGCTTGCAGACAGTTCTTAGCTAGGGCCTCCATTTCCAAACCTGCCCAGCTGGCTCTGCTAAGCCAAGGGCCCACCAGGGGTTGCTACCTCAAGCAGGGGGTTGGGTTCTCAGTCAAAACATCCAGCTGGATGTCGGGGCAGACGCAGCCCAGAAAGCACGCATCTCCAAGGGATGCCTGCAGCCTGGCCCAGGGCCAGCCCCTCTCCTATGGCTCCCTGTGGACCAGGGCCTTTTCACAGGCGTGAACTCACCTGGGAGCTCACCAAAGCAGCACGGACAGTGGGGCCAAGCATCGGCTGAGGCCTTCCACTGGCTTGTCCCGCAAAGGTTGCTGTGGTCAAGGAGGCTCTGGCCTGCCCCTGAAACCCTCCCCCACACAGACACCTATGGGCAGGGACACTGCTTAGGCCCTGTTTTTACCTTTCTCTTATTTACTCACTGAAGCCTCTCAATAGCCCAAGATATAGGTTTCACAGGTCCAAGCCCTTCATTAAAATCTCTGAAGACAGAAGTACTCATGGATTTCAAAAATTTCAGATGACAGAAGGCACAGGTAATGTGTATATCCCACATATTATGTAACAGCCCAAATGGGTCTGGGCAGAACCCCATAATTTCCTCAGAGGAACATGTGAATATTCGCTCCAAGTGAGAAAAATAAGGATTTATAAATAGCTTTGTCAGTTTAGGTTTTGCCCCCATAGAAGTTCAGGCTGAGTCAGATTTTGCTGAACAAATTACATTTGGATTTCAGATTGGCAAGCCAGAGATTACAGGCCCTAGGTTAGAACCTTCTTTCTAGAACCCACATGAGAACCCAGAGCACTAGAGATTAATCCACCTGCCCAGAGTCAACGCCAGGGCCAGACTCACACCACACACCGGATGCATCAGGCAGCCTTCCCGCACTGATCGGGTGCTGCACAGGGACTGGGAAGGACCAGCTCGGCCACAGCGGTCTGGGAGTGGGTGACAGCAGCAGAGATGGCCCACCGGAGACAGACGTGCGAGGACCCATTCCCACTCACACCACCAGGCATGACCACGCCAGAACCCTGGGGTGGGATCCCCAGGCACGGGCTCGGTCCACCGTGCTCAGGCAAGCCAGGCACCCCTGCCCCGGGCAGTCAGACCAAAGTGGGTGGGAGGCGCCTGCAGGCCAGGCCCCTGGGGGAAGAGGGAGGGGAGGACGCCTCGGGTGGGCAATGTGCCTGCAAGCCCCAGCCACCTGTCTTCTCTCTGTAGCTGCTCGCCGAGCTGCTGGGCCCTGTCCTCTGCACAGAGTGGCTGTCCGGGGAGAGCTGGAGGCTGTTTGTTCCCTGAGGGATATGGCGAGCTTGGCCAGCCTTTGAAATCCCAGTAGCCCTTCCTCCACCCCAGACGCTGCACTTGAGTGGGGACCCTGCAAAAAACTGGTTAATATTTACAAGCTTGGTCATATGCACCATCTTATCAGAACACATGCAATGTACCTGAGCAGCCACAATCCCATTTGACAGATGGGGAAACCGAGGCAGAGAGGGGTGCCACGCACAGCAGCAAAGCAGGACCTCTTAACATTGTACTTCCCTAAAACCATTTCTAATTTTTAAAACATTGTTCTCATTTTCCCAGAAAGCCCAGCCCTCCATGCCCCCTTTTATGACAAACGCCTACACTTCATTTAAGCCCCTGGTCAGACGTCTTTTCTCATAGAAGGTGCTCCATATCCCTCCTTCTAGATGGAGGTCACCTCCTTTCTAAACCCTCCTAGATTCTATGTGAATAGTGTTCCAAGCATTTATTCTTCCCCATTGTGTATCCGTTTCCTGCCCCCCGCCCTGGGCCTCTCAGGTCAGCTGCAGCAGAACCTTGTTGAGGTTCATTCATCCTCAACCCACTACCCAGAAAGGGGCCTGAAGTGCAGGAGATGTCCGAGGAAATCTACTGAATGGGTGAACGAGTCGGTCAAGGCCCTGGATACTTCTTTAATGGCCTCGTCTACTCTCAGGAGTGAAAGGGGCACCCTGGACATGGCTGTCCACAGGACAATCTCTGTCGTGCACACAGACTGCTTCCCAGCACCACCTGAAGCCTCTGACACCTGCAAGGGGCAGGAGGGAGGCTGAGCTTCTCATGGGGAGGGCTGAGGCCGGGCTGGGGTCCGGGGAGGTGCTCAGACTCCTCCTGTGCAGCCAGCTAAGAGAAGAAACACCAGCTTTTTCCTGCGCGATCCCTTTCACGAAGGTGAGCAATCACATGCTAGAGAAAAGCTACGCAGCAAGGCAGATGCCCAGCAAACAGCTCAGTACTGGGCAGAAGGAGCCAAAAACAGTCCTTAAAGACCTCTGGAAAACCCACTGGTCAGCCTCACTCCCTTGTTTCAGCAACTGGATGGATCCCCAGGATACTGGGCCCCTTTCAGCCTCAGTGTTGCTTAGGGGAACACCAAGACGACAGTGTCTGGAACTGCCTACTCCACAGCACAGGGTGGGGACCTGCACTCATGTTGCCCCCGACTGGCCTCCCTCCACCCCTTCCCAGCTGTGTGTCCCCAGGCTAGCTTCCTGCAAAGCCCCCAGGACTGTTTTTTCCACCCCAGGGCCTCAGCCCATCCCTCACCGCCTCTTGGAGCCACCAGTGACTAATGCGGACCTTCACAAACAATGGCCTCCAGGCCTGGGAACAGTGGCAGCAAACCTCCATGCTCAGAAACTGCTGCTGACACATTTCCCTGAAATCAGTAATTGGATGCCTTTTTTTGTCCTGAAATTCAGCAGATCCCAAAGTACTCAATGATGTTGCCTCTGAATTACCAAGCATGTGGGCCTCCCCCCGAGACAGAGCTGAGCCCTGGTCACTCCCTGGGCACAAGAAATGGCAGGAGCACCTGGCAGAGCTCTGGTGCGGAGCTGGTCTCTGAGCTCTGCCCTGGGTCTCCCTGCTCTGCTGAGGGAGGGGCCCCAGCCATCAGGGGCACATGCCCCTTCTTTACACTGTAGCCTGGAAAGTGCCCCTCCTCAGGTGGGTAAGCAGAACGCAACAGGAATGGCTGTGCAGCACCCCTCCCCGCCTCGCTAGCCTTGCGAAAGCAGGCGGTAGCCCCAGAACCACTGACGGCATCGAAGGTGTCCCTGCTCTCCCTTCGAGGCCCTGCAGGTTTGTCCCTCTAGAAGGCTGCCCTTACCAACCACTCCAGGAAGCGATGTTCCAGCAAGGAGCAACGGCTTCCCAGCTCTCCTGCGAAGGAAAGCCAGCCCCCAGCACACCTGACCCCATCGGAAAGCTCAGGGAGGGCACCTACCAACACTGGTTATCTTCTGAGCACCGAGGTCACGCAGGAGGGCTTCGATTGCTGGGTTATGTCTGGAGTAGAGCTCATACCGGTTAATGCCGATGTGGAACTTAAGCCAGTTGGGGTAGGAGTCCACTGCCACCTCCCCCGTGGGCAAGAATTCTTCATTTTCAGTGCCTTCACGTGGCCTACAGAAAATGAAGGGGACCCGGAGTCAGCAGGGAAAGAACAGAGAGTGGTAAGATTCTGGATGAATACGGGTGAGTTGGTGCCAATGCCAAGGTTTTAACTTTGGATCCAAACAAATGCAGATTCGTTCAAAGATGCCTCTGCCCAAACAGGACTTTGTGGACATCCCTACTTTTTCTGTGGCTGTTGTTGTACTAACTAATAACATATCTAAACTGTAATTCTTACTTTCCCTCAGGAGACGCCCAGACAGCTATAACTAAATCAAGATCAAGCCCAGAGCTTCAGTGCCAGGCCCTACCGAGTCTGTCCTGGGGTCACGAAAACAGCCCAGCAAGTGTGATGTCAGCTTGGGGTATGAGAGGCTGTCAGCCCTTCCTGGTGACAGACAAGCGAGCCTTCTTTCACCACAAACTGTGTGCACATCAGAGACACACCCCGCCTGTCAGAAACCTTCCCTGGGCACTCTGCTTTGGTTCCAACAACCAAGGGTAGAAATGATGCAAGAAGCTAAATTTGATTTTAATGAGAGCAGTCCTGGGTGGGGAGAGAGGAAAGAGGCAGGCACTCACTCCTGCTGAGGCCCAATGTGAGGACCTGCTGCCCATGTGGCCTGTCCTTACATCTCCGGGGTCAAGGGGCCAGTCTGCGGGAGGACAGAGCCTATCTGCTGCTGGGCTGGAGGGAAAGTGGAATTTGTCTTAGCTCTAATACACCTGCAAATGAGGCCCTTCTGGCCCCAAGCCCTGTCCCACCAGGGCCACATCACTGACCACCGGTCCTGGGCTCTGTCCTTCCTGTGAAGAGCCCCAAGCCTGGGCCACTGCTCTGATTCTCAAGTTTCTGAGCATTTCCTTGAACCTGGCCAGCAGACAAAGCTCAGACGCCACCAAACACCGTGGTGTATTTTGACAGAAAAGCCTGGGCCTAGTCAAATTTCAGGGTAGAAAGGGTTTGTATAAGATGTTTTGGGAAGCTGCCTTCCCCCTGAGTTGCTTGGGTAGCTATTTATTCTGGCCTTGCTGCTAGTTAATATTTCACTACTCCAGGCTGCAGAATCTGCTTATTCTGAACTGCGTGGCTGTGGAGGGCCTGGGGGGAAGGGTTTAAACCGGGACAGCTTAAGGAGATGCTCCTGAGGATGCTTCTCACCTTTTATGAAGCTGTCACCCAACGGAGCTGGCAGCGTTCCAAGGGCAGCTGCTGTTTGCACCAGGGCTGGGAGAACCCTTTTGTTACGCCTCACTGGGGCCAGCAGGCCCCTCTGCTAATTTTGTTCTCAGCGACTGGCTTACAAGGCTCATTAGGCTTCTGCAGACTTTCCTGACGTGTCCACTGGAGAAATGTCGCCGGACATCTGAAAGCTCGGTGGCCAGCAGCTCCCCAGGGAAAGGTTAGGGGCAGGCTCTCTCATTCACTCCTTTGCCGGCTGGTGCATGCATTGCCTGACTTAGTTTCCAGAGCCAGCGACCAGGACCTCACAGGCCGGCACTGCTGTCCTATGGAGTCAGCACTGACCCTCCCCCGACTCCACAGGGAGTAGCTCCCAAACCACCCAGCAGCCCTTCTCAAGGAGGCAGTCATTCTGGAGACAAAGGCACTGCCCTGAGCAAGAGGCAGCATCCTCTCCTGCCTCACAAAGCTCCCCTCGGAGGAGGGGGCGTGGGGGTTGGGAACTCTGCCATGGGGGGCCCATGCCCCTGGGGGTTCCCGAGCCCCTGGGCCTCTTTAAACAATGCCTGGGGTGTGCAAGGGCATTTCCTGGGAAGGGGAGCACAGGTTGATGGCTGCTTGAGGGTCCGGGGCCTGGCAGCACCCACCCTGAGCTGCCTCTCGCCTCACTCACCAGTCAGGATTCTCAGCTGCCGCCTTGGGGTTGAACCTGATGTCGCTGTTCACATTGAAGAGGACGTCGTCCTCCGTCAGCGGTGGAACCGACACCTGGTAGAGTGGGTGTTCAAACAGCCTAGCCAGGAGAGAGCTGTCCCCGCTCGGGCCAGGGGGCGGCGCCGACCGACGGGGCCCAGGATCTCGGAGCAGTGGCCGGTGCGCGGGATCGCGGGGCCGGGGACTGCCGGGTTCCTGCCCCTGCAAGGCGCCTTCGGCCGGTTCGGCTGCGGCCAGCAGTTTCTCCAGAGAGTGGGATGTGAGGTTGGAGGAAGGGTCGGAGCTAAAGTCCTGCAGGATACGCAACGTGTGTTTATTGGGCCAGCCTGCGTCGCCAGCCGCGGACGAGGCGGCGGGGGGCTCCCCGGGGCGGCCCCGCGCCTTGGCCCAGCCAGGCGCCGCCGCCTCGACCGCGGGTTGCGGGCACGAGCAACCGGGTTCCCCCGAGGGCCGCACGGCGCGCCGCTCCAGTTTGGGCAGCAAGTCCAGCACGATGTGCAGCGCGCAGGCCACCAGGAACACCATCAGGATGAGCACGCGGAACCTGCGCACCAGGATCATCTTCATGGCCGCGCCGGCGAGCGCGGCCTGGGCTCCGGGCGACCTCCTAGAGCGCGCTCCGTCCGTGCCCCAGCTAGTCTTGGCTTGGCACGAACGCAGTGCCCAGGCACAGGTCAAGGTCCATCTGGCGTCGGACAGCTACCAGCTCCAGGGCTGTTCCCCGGCCCGCACCACGTGTAGGGCGCCCACCGCCAAAGAGCCCTCTCGCCGGGCCATCTCGGGGCCGTTCCCTCTCGCCTCTCCGGAGTGGCCGCGCCCTCAGCGGCCGGGCCTAGCGGCCCTCGTCCGCGGAGCTGGGTGCGCAGCCGGGTGAGGCCCCGCGCACTCAGCGGCCGGCTTGTGGTCTCTGCGCTCATCCGGCGCGCAGGGGCCCGACGCTGCGGCCCATCTAGGCCAGGGCGCGGCGGCCTGGGGGTGGCGGTGGAGATGGCGCGGCGCAGTCCCCTCCGCGGCTCCGTGGGCCGCGCCAGGCGCCGGGCTGGCCAGGCGGAGAAGGGGCGGCTCCTTCGGGCAAGGCTCGTCTCTCTCACGCTGCGGTCCGGAGGCGGGGACCTGGAGGCGGAGCAGGGCGCAGGGCCGCGGGGACAAGGAGGGGGCGGGTACGGGG